CTTCTCCACTGACGAGAAGAGAAGCGGCGTGTGGAAGGTCTACCAGAGCGCTATCCTAGAATTTGTGGATGATGTCATCCTGCAGCAGACTGCTCTGACATTGAGCGATGAGCGAACGGTCAAGCCTGACGATGCAGAAGCAAAGTATGCGCGGGTAGCTGGTACTGCGCTTTTGTTGTTCAACAGAGTTCTAGGTAAGCGGAAAGCCATATTGTTCCTAACATCTTAACTAAAGCATCTGCAGGACACTCGACCCATGAAGATCTGCAGAAGGATCTGCCGACCATCGAAACTCTCTTATGCAGCAAATCTCTATGGGCACTTTCTTATCACGACGACCCTTTTGTGCGCAAATCGCTCTACATCCTTACTCGATCTGCTGTGTCTAAAGAGCCTGAGGAGCTCGATTGGAAGCTCATCAGTGCTGCCTTAATTGGCAAGGCTTTGCACAGTCCCCAACTTGGCTCCGCATCGGAGCTTTCCGAAACGATTTTGCGGGTAACGTCTGCAAGACCGCAACTATGGACAGAGGACTATTCTGGGAAGTCATCTCCTTCCAAGAGACTTCTTCAATACATACAGAAAGGTTCACAAAGCGGCACAAGCTCCTTCTGGCCAAATCTTTGCCAATTACTCCAGACGATTCCTTTCGAAACACTGGCCAAGATTGACTCGCAATCTACATCCGATTCTCTTGGACTGTCTAGTGCGGTTGCACTAACAGAGTCGTTCCAGGAAGGACTCACTTCTAGGGATGAACCTCGGCAGAATCGTGCGGTTGGTTGGAAGGCCTACATTGACACTTCGATGTGGCTTGCGCATCGGCTTTCTGAGGAGGATAGGGAGAAATTCTTGCAGGACAGGCTTGCTCCGTTGATATTGCAATATGTCGAGCCTGAACAAGATCGTCTTCAGTGGACTCTTCCCCCTTCGTCAGCGGAATCTATCTGCACGGATTGTCTCGTTGCAGTGACAGCGAAAGGCTACAAAGCGGTGGTCGAGCAGCTGTGGACAAAGTTGGCCGATGGCCTACTCGAGGCCGTAAAGCTGTCATCACCAGAGCAGTCCAAGGACTTCAAGTCCTCACAGGACGCAGTATGTGTGGAGGCTGAGCGTCTATTCTCCTTGGAAGCCTTGTTGCTTTCGCGTTTGCATGATACTGCCCATGAGACAAGCATTCTGGATATATTCAGGAATACAGGCCTAAAGTTACTCGATAATTGCCTGGAGGTGTTGCGCTCCAGAAATGGTAAGCCTTATGGAGCGGCTGCGGTCGTGGAAGAAATAGTACGCAAAGTCCCGCAAATCGCGCAAGGCTCGCAGTCGTTGTTGAACTTTGTTCAAGAGGATGCGCCTGAGCTCTTGGCATCGCCATCCGCTGATCGATTGGTATCCATTATCATGTCTTGCCGATCTTGGGAAGGGTTCGGACCTAGCTTCGAGAAGGTCGTCGAGCGTGTGGCACAGTCAGATCCAGAGTCTTCAAATATACATGCTGTTCAGAAGCTTCTTTCCACTCTTGATTTCCAGGAGCTAGGCGACAAGAGTGGACTGGTTTCTTTGGTCATGAGGGCCCTAGACCAAGCCTGCAAAGGCAGCGACCTTCACTGGTCTATTGTTATTGCCGTGCTACAGAACCATACCTCTCATGGGCAATTGACGGACTCGATTTTCCTGTCCATTATGGATGCCCTCTCTGAAGAGAGCAAGGTATTTGACACTCTGCATGGACTTTCTCGCATCACCAGCTCGGTCCCCAGTGCTGTCAGAAACTTCCAGAGCGGAGACCACGGCTCAAAGTTGTCTGGTAAACTGCTGTTCCTCACCGAGTCGTCGGATGAAGAAGTAGCCAGTCTCGCGGAGTCGCTGTCCAAGACCGTGAAAGATTCAGTCGTCAGTGAGACAAGCGCCAAATCGAGCTTTGAGATCCTGCAGCACCAGTTCGACAATGTGAACCAAATGTCACTTTCGTAAGTCGTGACCCAACGAGAAGAGAGAAAAGAAGCTAACGGTAACAGCATCGGGTCCATGTTGAGCATCGCAGAAGAGCTGCTACAGAATGTCCCTTCCGCGGACATCGGAAGAGTAGCGAAGGACATCCTGCCGTCTCGTCAATCTTGGGATAATTCCCTTGGGCCTTTCCTCGAGCTCCCTTCGCGGCTATCGGCGGCCGTCACCAGCCCGCTCGCCGGTACCGTGCATCTCGTTGATCGCAGTGTGTCAAACGCATTCCGGGAACGCTACGCACGTATTCCGCGCGACTCCAACAATTGCTCGTCGGCGTTCCGGTTGGCCTTTTACACCATCAAGATCCTGTCTTCATTCGATATTGTCGAACATCTGGACACCGAGGAGCTTGAGACTCTGTTCTACAATGTACCCCTAACAGTGCAGCTTATTGATGACGACTTGAGCGTCCAAAATTGCAATGGAATAACCGGCATCTCACACCCCGAGCAGCGCGAGGAGTACATGGAAATAGTCAGCGATGGTCGAAAAGCCGTGAATGGCTGGGCTCAGTCGCAAAAACTGAATGCCGGTAAAGGACAGTCAGTCGGTTCTTTACTTTCTACATTCTGGACAAGCCAGATCGAGAGGCTGGACTCCCTTTCTCCGTTAGACTACCAAATTGGGCTGGCGTTTGTGAAGATCATGGAAGCTGTGGATTCGTCAAACAAGAGTCGGTCGTCAGAAGAGGTCACGCAACTTTGCAGGGAGATGCGAAAGGCGAACGCCATTCGATCGGCCTCTTGGGTGGCCGTGCTACGTAGTGCCATGCTCTCCAACCCTGCCGGCACACGACTGTGTAACGAGTTTGTGGCGGACTCCACGGGGTTGAAGCCCACCGAAGAGAGCAAAGATGGTTTGTCGAGGCCCCTTTACCCAGTAAATCTACTTGCTAATATAGACTAGGTCTTCGCAAGCTGGTCCTTCTGAATCTCCTGTTATCTGGAGAAGAAGAGGTTGCAGCCTCCATTCCTACACAGCGCTTGGTGTTCCTAATCAAACATCTCATTCAATGCCTTCAGTCTGAGGGCACTTCTCTGAGCATCAAGGCCGAGATTTTCCAAGTCCTGGCAGTGATGCTTCCTAACCTACAGGAAATCTACGGCTCCCACTGGGAGGAATGTATGGATATCCTTATTACCACATGGCAAGAGACTGGTGGTAGCGACGAAGCCATCCCTACTCTGCTATCGTCATTTAGACTCTTTTCTCGTCTTCAGTCAATCGCAGGCGACGAGGAGAGTAACGATGATGTGAAGGATGCGTGGTCTGATCGGAAGAATGCACTATTCAATAGCTTGGCATCAACGCTCCAGAAATTCGGTAAGTGTTGGATACACGGTTATCAGGTATATGCTGACTGGGCAGATTCGTCCACCACCTTCCACCAACCCCGAGATGTGGCTGTTGATCTGTTGTGTCGCTTCCTCAATGTTATCCCAGTTGATCACCTGGAGGACGCGAGCAAGTTCTTCCCGCTCATCACATCGCAGAGCCCCACGGTGCAACGCGCTGCCTACACCGTCCTCCATCGGTACATCCCCAGCGTGCAAGAGCAAGTGTCATTTGACGTGGCACTGTCGAAGACGACTGTCGGACTGCCTGACGAGCTGATGTCTCTGCTGCTCGAAGCACCGACCATGGAAGGGTTCAACGCTGCCTATGGCGACGACAGGATGTGGGCCGAACTACGGTCGTACCTGCTAAGCTGGAAAGTGGTTTTCGACCACTTCGTAAATGCGGTATGTATTGATGCCTTGCTGTAGGACTGGTTTGCTGACCAGTACAGTCTCTCACTGTACAAGAAAACTACGTGGCTAGTATCAAGGACAACGAAAGTCTCAGCCCACTTTTGGAGTTCATGTTCGACTTCCTCCAGCGATCGGGCGGAAAGATGGTGGATGCATCTAAGTTTGACATCCGCTCCTTTGAGCTCGATCAGTCCGAGAGCGCTGAGAAGGAGATCCAATGGCTTCTTGTGCACTTGTATTTCCTGTGTTTGAGGCACCTGGCCAACATGACCAAGAGTTGGTGGCTCGATACGAAGAAGCGCATCAAGGGGCCGGTGGAATCCTGGACCGAGAAATTCGTAAGCTGCCTGAATATCTGGCTTGCCCTATTGTAAACTAACATTGCATTAGATCTCACCTCTGGTTATCGAGGACTCGCTGCGGGGAGTCACTGAATGGACAGCCACCCAGGATCCGAACGAAGAGCGGGCGCTGAACGTGAAGATCTCACCCAAGACAGCGGAGATCATTGCCAGCATCCCGGTGGATGAAGAGTCGCCACCAGTGGCATTGTCTTTGTCCCTTCCTCCGGCTTATCCACTGCAGCCAGCGTTGGTTGTGAGTCGCAGCCGTGTGCTCGTGGATGAGAAGAAGTGGCGCAGCTGGTTGCTGACCATCCAAGGCGTGATCATGTTTGCCAACGGCAACTTGGTGGACGGACTGCTGGCATTCCGGAAGAACGTGCAGGGAGCGCTCAAGGGACAGAGCGAATGCGCGATCTGCTACTCGGTCATTTCGACGGACATGCAGACACCGAACAAGCGGTGCGCCACGTGCAAGAACACCTTCCACTCTGTGTGTCTGTTCCGGTGGTTCAAGAGCAGCAACCAGAGCACTTGCCCGCTGTGCCGGAACAATTTTGTTTATGTATAGGGGTTTGGTAGTAGAGATGTACATAGAGAGTATATTGGAGTATCACTACGATGCTGCATTCTTCGATGGTTATCAGTATCTGTCGCATGTGCATGTCCTTGCCTAGACTGGATAGAGACAAAGCTAACAACCGCAATACTCATTGAGTCACTAACGAAATCATCAACAAGTTACATGTTCTCGTATATTTCTCAGCAGGGTCCTCTCTTAGAAGACAATATGCGAACAAATCAATCTTTCCTCCCCTCCCCTCCCCTCGACTCCAGTCCGCTTCTTTTTAGTATGCACCGGAGTGAACACCACAGCTGTCAACAATGAAATCAAATGAGATCACAACTCCCCATGCTCTCCAGCATCCAGAGATCGAGTAGGATCACCCTTGCATTCCACCTCATCAAACCTAAACTTCATTGGCCCATCACCCTCTGCATTCCAGATGGCATAATTGGGCATATCAAAAACAATATCCAAACCATTATACTCTCCCTCATTGTTGCCCCGAATACTAACAAACCCCTTGTCGCCATCATCCCCGTCGACCTTTGCAGCTATAAACTAGAAGGGGACTTGCGGATCCCCATACACGTCCCTGTCGATGCTAATAGGCCAGAGTTCCGATCCTTGGTCCTGATAAGCACTAATCACTAGCGGACCCCAATTTTCTGAGATCCATCTGAGATAGAACAACCCGCCATCGGTCACATTGCCGTCGGGGGATGGACAGTCGGCTTTGTAGTCTTCGCACACTTGGAATGTTCTTGGAAGAGTATCATGCTCGATAAGAAGCGGTTCCCAGTACATGCCGCGTCCACCGCCGGATTGTTGGACGGAGCCGCGGTCAATGTGTATTAGATTGTAGCATTTCTTGTATGTAATTGGTAGAGTGGCGGGTTCAAGGGCTTGGTTGGCCTCTTTATTGGAGTCAAATGAAGCCCGGAATGGCTCGAACATGTTTGGGGGCAGGAGAAAGGCCCTTGCAGAGATGACCAGGAGGAGAGTTTGAAGAAGAAGAAGAAGAAGAAGAAGAAGAAGAAGCTTCATGGTTTATAAGACTTCTTGTAATATATCTTGAGTGATCGTAGAAAGGGTCGAGATCGGAGAACTTTCCCTCAATCTAATGGTGAATCAAACTAGAACAGATCAATATAGATATATATATATATATATATATGTCGAGGAAGATGGCTTCAATGAAGCAGTCATGATCTAACTCATCTCCAGGCGAACCATAGACTACTATGGATGCGAGAAACACTGGTACTACTAAAGCAATCTTCGCATAATCGGTATTGTCTATGATAGCAGTGCTAAACCGCCGTCTTCGTCGATGATTACGCACAATGGCTTTGATGAATACCTTGAGCTAATGTGTCTCATAACGATGAATTATTCATTCTTCTATGGTCCATGGGTTGAGCCAACAGTAAGTTCAAGCAATGTCGAACCCGTTTTCGGAAGCCAGCAGATGATGATGATGATGATGGATGGGAAATGATGAAGAATAATAAATCAAAAGTATCTCGTTGTTCAGCTCCCATTTTCGCTTCTAAAGTGTCTGTCAGTATAAACAAATAATAGCATCCGTTGAGTAACTTGTTCTCATAGTAGATATGTAAGATATATAGATCCGACAGCTTGTGGAAGTAAAAAAGCTGTGGGGGCGGCACCGCGGGGCACAACCAACTTTCCGCCGCGGAGCTCCAACTTGAGCTTCTCCATCTCCTCCTCGTCAATGTCCGCCTCGCACATCCCTAACTTGAACACCCTGCGTCGCGGCGGTGGTCGCGGCCGATTTCGAAGTCGTGGAGGTGGCCAGCCTGGTGAGGCAGGCCATGGGTCTCATGGCGCCAAAGATCGTGTGGTGCAGGGCACCGACAATGACGCCAGCGTCTCCCGCCTCAGCGCCGTGAACCTGGGCTATCTTGATGATGTCTTCGCGCCTGCATTGACGCCTCCGGGCATGGAAGTCCGTCGACTTCCCATTATCAACAGAGGTACTTTACCTCTGACAGACTCCATCTTTATCTCAACCGCTCTAATCCTTTAACCGTCATAGGTACCTACGTTCGCACTACCACCATCGACCGCCTCGTCACCCGCTTTCTCAGCGCCCATCCCTCTCACCCCAAGAAACAAATCATCTCCCTGGGTGCCGGCACCGACTCGCGCATCTTTCGTCTCCTCTCCTCCCCTACCTACGACGCATCGAATCTAGTCTACCACGAGATCGACTTTTCCGTCAACACTTCCGCCAAAATCAAACTCATCCGCGCCGCACCTCTCCTCCAACGCGTTCTCAGCAGCAGCAGCGGCGATGTTGAAATCTCTCCGACCAACGACGCCCTCCACTCGCCCTCCTACCACCTTCACCCCCTCGATCTCCGCAGTCTACCCACCTCACCGGCCCTCCCAGGCCTCGATCCTACTCTCCCTACCCTCCTCCTGTCCGAGTGTTGTCTTATATACCTCACCCCCGGCGAAGCCAGCTCGGTAGTCCGCCACTTCACAGAGACCATTTTCCCGGCGACCACGCCGTTAGGGTTGGTTCTGTATGAGCCCATCCGGCCCGACGACGCATTCGGGCGCACAATGGTGGCAAATTTAGCCACGAGGGGAATTCAGCTGCAGACATTGCAAGAGTATGCGTCGCTAGAGGCGCAGCGACGGAGGTTACGGGAGCTGGGACTGGACAGGGGACAGGCGGCGGCGGATGTGGACTTCATCTGGGAGAGGTGGGTGAATGAGCGGGAGAAGGAACGGGTGGCAGGGTTGGAGATGTTGGATGAGATGGAGGAGTGGAGGTTACTGGCAAGACATTACTGTGTTGCTTGGGGGTGGAGGGACACCCCGGGTGGAGTGTTTGAGGGATGGAGGGAGATGGAAGGGCAGGAGGAGTAGGAGTAGGAATACAGTAAGAAGTATGAAGTATGACTGTGTCGTTATGGAGTATTGTGTGCGTCATATATTATAACTAGCTAGCTAGTTAATTTATTGCACCCAAGTAGTTCCCCAGACTATCATATAATAGATTATATATGAATGAAAATCCACGTTGAGCGCACAGGCCAAGGGGCGAGAAAGAGGAGAGAGTAGACTAAGTACTATGTAGTGGAGTGAAGTATATGGTAGCCTAAGCCTGCAATGTGTATGTATACCACCCCAAGGCCCTTGTTCATACCAGTATTATGATATTATTATTGTCAATTATTGCCTAATCCTTCAAGTACTTGACAGGGTAAACTGGTATTTGCCCAGCAATCAACCCATTGGTGCAATCAAACATGACCATAGATACGAGCTCGCGAGCAAGCGAGACACAGACTAAACATAGACTATTGCCCAAGCTAGCACCATAGCTCCCGCCTATGAGCCTGTACGATTGGCTTGCTTTCTCGCCCCCTTTTTCTCAACTGCCAAACTCCGTGCCGGTCAGTGACTGAGACTAGCCCAGAGGCAGAGAGGCACTGACTCGAATGCACTCGAGCACTATTTTGTGACTTATACTGGAATAGGATGCTGATCCGGTCTGGACGGATGCTGATCGTGATGTCTTGTCTGGGAGAGGAAGGGAGTGGTTGTGAGTTTTGACCCGTGTCATATTCTGGTAAAGTTGAGTTGAGTTGACAGATGGCAATAATTAAGGATTGAGTTGGATAAACTCAGCAGATATATCATTGTTCACAGATACGCTCTCTCTTTCTCTTTTTTACTCCCCTTTTGCGAGTTCTACCACCAAGTATGGATGAATGTCTCAGGGTCCACGGACCCCTTATCCATCCATCAGGAACCGTACGGTAACCTACACTATTCCACTATCCCCAAAGAAGTAATATACGGGGGGACTTCCATGAACTGCCGCGGCGCAAAGGCCGCTGATTGGCGTGACACCCTGAGCGGGTCATGCCTAATTGGGATCGAAGCTTTAGGGCTATCCCGTTTGGGTAACCCGGGGAGAGCATCACTTTCAGGCTACTAGTCATGGTAGTCTTTCTCTAGTAGTTTGATGGTGGTGGCAGTGGGTTCCTCGTTTCTCTTTTCTTCTGGGTCTGCCGGCTTTTGTCTCTCTTTTTCTCTTTCTCTTCTTCTTCTCTTTCTTTGCTTCGGTCCAGTCTCTCGTTCTTGTCTTTACTGACCCTAGTCTTTCGTTTCGCGTGGTCTGTCGTGGTGTCATATTATTATTCTCTATACTTACGTGCCTACTTATCTCCTGCTATATCTCACAAAACTGACCCATACATATCACATCTCTCCACCTTTGGTTACATATACATACAACATACATACATATACACATCTCATACAACAATGAAGGCCACTAGCGCAACGGTGGCTTTCCTAGCCATGACTGCTGTCCAAGCAGCCAAGCACGCCCATGACCATGGCCATCACCGCAGCCATCGCTCGGTGGATGCCCCCGTGGTAAAGAAGAGTTCCTCGTGCCAGTTCCCCTCCGGTGCTGGCTTGATCTCCATTACTCCCCACGAGGTCAATGGTGGATGGGCTATGAGCCCTGACCAGGAGTGCAAGCCAGGCGGGTACTGTCCGTATGCTTGCCCGGCTGGCCAGGTCTCTATGCAATGGGACCCGGAGGCTACTTCGTACACCTACCCCATGTCCATGGTAAGCTGCCTAGGAGTAATCTTTGTTGGGCGTGACTGACAAGAATAGAATGGTGGACTGTACTGCGATGAGAACGGCGAGATCCAGAAGCCCTTCCCGGACCGTCCCTACTGCAAGGACGGCACCGGCGTCGTCAGCGCGAAGAACAAGTGCAAGGAGCAGGTGTCTTTCTGCCAGACGGTTCTTCCTGGCAATGAGGCCATGCTGATCCCCACGCTTGTTGAGGAATTGGCTACCCTGGCTGTTCCGGATCTGAGCTACTGGTGTGAGACTGCGGCACAGTAGGTTTTCCATCACGCTGAATTGTAGGAGTCCATTATACTGACAGTATAGCTTCTATATCAATCCTCCGGGATACAACACCGAGACGGCCTGTGTCTGGGGTACCTCCGCGAACCCCTACGGCAACTGGTCCCCGTATGTTGCTGGCGCCAACACCGACGGCGACGGCAACACCTATGTGAAGCTTGGATGGAACCCGATTTACCTGGAACCGACCACCCCTTTCCGCAACGAAGTCCCTGAATTCGGTGTCGAGATCGAGTGCGAGGGAGGCGGCTGCAATGGACTGCCCTGCAAGATCGACCCGTCCGTCAACGGCGTGAATGAGATGACTGGCGACAGCTCGGTGGGTGCAGGCGGTGCCACCTTCTGTGTGGTGACGGTGCCCAAGGGCGGCAAGGCCAATGTCGTTGTCTTCGACAAGGAAGGTGACTCGGCCAGCGTGCCGGTGTCCAGCAGCAGTGTAAGCAGCGTCGTCGTGAGCAGCAGCGCCAGCTCCAGCTCCACCTCGACCAGCAGCATCGTCCCTACTACCAGCAGCACGTCGACGGTTATCAGCACCAGCTCCAGCACTACCAGCAACACCCCGACTACCCCGACCCCGTCCAGCACTACTACCTCCAGCTCCACGCTCAGCTCCAGCTCCACCATCAGCACCACCAGCTCCAGCAGCATCACCCCCAGGCCTACCCCCAGCTGGACGCCCTCATCCAGCTGGAAGGTCAGCTCTAGCGCAGCATTGAACTGGACCGTGTCGGCTAGCTACACGTACAAGCCACATGCCATGGTGGAGACAGGCTCCTCGCACGCGAATCCTGTCGCTGCTGCTGCTGTTGCCAGTGGTTCAAGCCAGACATCTCGAACTGCTCAAGCAACACCGTCGGCAGCTATGACGGATGGCGCTGCTGTTGGCACTGCTGTGTCCAAGCTGAGTCTGATTGTGGCGGTCCTTGGAGCGATTGTAATGGTCTAGACCGAGACCATATTGACCCCTAACAAACCAGAAATGGTTGCATACTCACCATCATTTTTCTTGGTTCACTTCTGATGGGCACCTTTTTCACACTATACTTTATACCCTTATGATTGACGTTCTTGTACATGCTTGGTTGATGAGCATTTATTGATAATGTTTACTGTTAATATAGTCATTAATCTGTAATCCAAGTGCAAATGCCACTTAGCATGATCATAGGGT